GCCGGGGGTTTTTCCCTCTAGCCTCTGGGGCCCACCCAGCCTCCTCTACAATGGGTACCGGGGTCCTTTCTAAGGGGTAAAGCCGGCCGGGGCGTGATGCTGACCACTCACCCCCATCTAGTGCCGAGGTCAAGGAAGAGAGGAGCTTTACCTCCACTCCCCCCAAGCGCCTACATGGCGTATGGTGGGACAGCTTTACTTTACTTTACTTAAGTATTATATTTAGTTATTTGTCTTAATATTTGACTGGACGTAGCTCAGGCGAGTAGACAACGGAGTCCCGGGCTCACTCCTTTGTGACTGAAGGCGAAATTCGTAGTCGGCGAAGTGGTACTGAGAAGCAGCCTTTTCCAAGTTTCTCGCCCCTGTTGAACTGTCACCTCCCCATCTGGTGCGAAAATGTCGCCGAATTTAGCTTCTCCTTTCTGTTTGCTGCCCCTCATAATTGGTGGATCTTCGTAGCCAGAGTCCGTGAACACTTGACCGTCGCCCACCTAATAAAGATATTCTGCGTCTTTTACGGAACCCGAAGGTGAGTCCGTTGCAGTCCCTGTCCTGATTCAGGATACAAATTACAGAGAGAACAAAGTTTGACGCTCCTACTGCAAATTTAATAGGAAGAGACCGTCTGTTCGAACAGTACCGTAGCATCTTAAGACGTTTGTATCTTTACTTGGGACGTAATGACGAGGTTTGATAATGAAGAAGGCATTCTTTCTGTTCTATCAAAGCCGCTATGAATGCCTACAGATCTTATTTTGAAGGATAATTACAACAGCTCTCGTGTGCGTTTGCTGGTGGTCGTGGTACTACTCTGTGGATGCGTTGTGAGGTAGGAGGGCTGAGCATGTAGAGAGACGTGGCGGGAGGAAAAGAGCTCGAAAATGATTGAGGCAGAATGGAAGACGACGTTCGATTGGATTTCAGAGAAACTGGGCGAGCTGATTTGGATTTAGCTTTGTTAACCTCAGGGTTTACTTTCGGATTACGTAATACCAGTATAGACATATAAGATATATTGGGTTTACTGATGGTGTTTAACCATTTTCAAACATGTTAATCGCTGTTAATTCTAAAAATGCATATGGGACTCATACACTGTTTGCAAAATTTGAGTTTTTAATGTTAAAGCAGGTGGAAGATGTATTTACCACTGTTTTGCAGGTTCAAAACTCTCGGTAATTGCAGCTTTTACCAAGATGTTTTCTGCAAATAAAGGCGTCTTGTGCAGTAGAAGTTTTCCGACGTTCCAGAGGTGCTACGCACCAATCACCTCTGAAACGACGATAAAGGTCTACCCGACAAGACGGCTCGGAATTTCGGAAGACAGCTTCTCTTTCGTGGGTGTGTTTCGTCGGAACTTTGGTGTCTTTCCACAAGTGTACACGGCGTTACAACCCGTAATACAAAATCGACAGTCTGTCTTTTTCAGTGTATTCAGAAAAGCCAAAACTTATGTTCATGACCTCGGAAAATCTGTCAGCAGGTGTTGCCTCTCGGTGCGTGACGCCGGTAATTTTGGGGAGGGCCCTTTTCAGTTTGTGGGTGCAGGACACGCGGGTCGTTGTTCAAACTGTTAAATACCCGACATCCATAATGCATAACCCTTGTTCACAGATCTAATGACCAGTGACACGCAACATTTGGCCAATTTCTGCTTTCAGTTCTTTAAACTGGAACCTCACGTTAAATCGTGGCTTGATTTCAGGCCCTGTTATTTCAGGAACCGCTCAGATCTGCTTCTGTAACCTCATGTTCTTCCTCTGTATTTAAAGAATGTTTACACCGTGATTTTCCATCCCAGGGTTTCACAATTTTTTTAAGAGGATCATTGTTTCTTCTGAAAGGTACAATTTGGCTGCACGCGACAGAGACAAGCGACCGAGGCAGGCGACAGAGACGGGAGACGGACACATCGCAGCTTGTCGCCACACACTTCTGAGGAGACATGCAGCAAAGTGTTTCTTTTCTTTGTTTTGTTGAGACATACGTGCACATATTCTGTGGAAAATGAGTACAAAAATGCTTCTAAAAAGGTTACTCGAAGAATAAGAAGAAGATGATGTGTTGCTGTGTTATTTGTTGCGAAAGAAACAAAGAAAACCTATGAGTTCAATATTCAAAACCAGACGAAAAAACTACTGGTCCGAGAGCGGTCTCCTGTGCTTTGTCTCTGTCTCGCGCTCGTAATTGTACTTCATACGATTGTACAGAGAGCAGACAGGAAGCGACCAGTCCCGGTCTCGTAACTCTGTCGCCTGCCTCGGTCGCTTGTCTCTGTCACGTGCAGCCAAATTGTACCTTAAGGTAAAAGCTTTCCCTATGCTAAGAGACATTTAGAGGAGTGGAGATACAGATCCACACATTATGACCCTTGACACCGGGCTCACCTCGTCGGTGCACGCCATCTAGGTGGGAAAGAAGGTAACCCAGAGATTGGCAAGTTTCTCTCATCTTCAGAAAGGCCGCCCTCCTTTACTAATACCTAAAGGGCACTGACCGCCTCCCCCAATCATGGAGGACGTCAGCTGAAGTGTCCCACCCCAAGAAGAGTCAGTGGCAACCAGCCAAATCGATCTCAACACTTCTTGGTTCAAATCCCAGAGAGCCATCCAATCAAAATCCTTTTCAGAAAGGGCAAGTTGCCTGATGGGAAAATCTCCCATCAATAGCAATAGCCCCTAGTTTGAGAAGTCGAGGACTTCCGGTTACTGTAAGCACATCCCCATTGTGGTTTTAAGTCATCACTGTTTACCATTTTAAAGATTGCGCGTCGCACGCAGGAATGGTGTAACTTGGCAAGGGACGATGTCTTGCTCAGGACTCCGCCATTAGTTAGCTTTTCGGTTTGTTGGTTTGATCCACTCATTCCTAACCTCGGCTTTTGGCGGAGGTGAGTAGCGAGCTTCACGTCTCGGCTGCTTTAACCCCGAACGAGGAACTTCGGCACACATTGTGACCTGTAGTGGGTTGGGTGAGCCCCGCATCCGGTCTACATAACGGGGAGGAGAGCAGTAATTTTCCTCTATCGGGAATCAAATCTCAGCCTTCCAACCAGTTGTCTAGCCCCGACTATTCATGTATATGCACGCGTCAATTTATCTCATAATAGTCCGGCCTCCTTATGTGTAGGCATCCCACATCTCTCTACTGCAAGGAGTGAAGCTTCCCATTGCTGTTTTTAAGTATTTTAATTATATTTTCTTCATATATAATCTATTTCATTCTTTGTCTTGTTTATTGTATGACACTAAATCTCTCTTTCTTTCTTACTACTCCATTAGTTTTCATTATTTCTTTTCCTGCGTATCATGTAATTAACTTGTCTAGAACGAGTTAATAGTCGCTCATCTGCCTTTTATGGATCTGTGGTCTAGCGGTCAGAACGCTGGCCTGTATGACACTAAATCTCTCTTTCTTTCTTACTACTCCATTAGTTTTCATTATTTCTTTTCCTGCGTATCATGTAATTAACTTGTCTAGAACGAGTTAATAGTCGCTCATCTGCCTTTTATGGATCTGTGGTCTAGCGGTCAGAACGCTGGCCTTGTAATCCTGGGGTCTCGGGTTCGATTCCCGGCGGTGCCCGAATTTATAACTTGTGTTGGGCAAGGCCGTGGTCTAGGCAACACGGAGTTTTCGTCCGTGGCATCCCAACAATTACTCCATTCACACACAGAAGAAGGCAATGGCAAACCACTTCTGGATCATCTGCCAAGAACGTATATGAACAGGTCCCAGTCCGAGAAAAGGATGGAAGGATCCTGTTCATATGGACCTGTCGTCAGACAGAACACTAAATAATAAATAAATAAGGTTTATTAACGTGTTCAAAGAACTCGCAACCGGTCCCGATCTTGGGCCAGAAAAATCTAGCCTACATTTGAATAATTTCTTAAAACCCGTTTTAATATTATCTTTTTTCCATTTGCGCTTCCCTTCCGATTGGGTCTTTCCTCCACGTTTTCCGATAAAAATTTCGTAAGCATTTCTCGTCCCGTGTTTTCTACTTGCCGTGCCCATCTCGCCATGTTCGATCAATATTTGGTGCCGAGTACAATATCTTTCTTTTATATGATAACAAGTGGAAGATGACCAGTCTGAGGAGTGAGCACATGACTTAATGTTATCTTAAGGACCAAGTGCGTAGGATTAAAGATCAAATAACTTCCTGTAGGGGATCTTATCAACGGGATGTTGGAGTTCAAAGATACATGAGTCGAGTTATGTCACAGCTGGCAACACTGCTAACGGAGTTCTAGATATTCTTCAAGACAGGTTTGCCAGCGCGTGCTGCTATGCCAAGGGCGTTAGAACTCATTCAAACCTGAAGGAGCAGGAATTCCTTCTTCGGTGTGTGTTTCTCGTACGGATGCTTGGTGTCTTAACCGTGTTCCAAGCCCCGAAAGATTTACACACGAACCCAAATTAAATATTTCTCTTCAACAGGTCTTCTAGGTTTAAAGGCAGAGGCAGTGATGTCCGTGTCCACGTCTCGTCAGCAAAATGCTCGGCAGAATCACAGTAAAAACGTAGATAATGAACACTTAAATCAGCGACAGAGTTAGATATTTTGGAACAGCTTTAGCGAATAAGTGTTACATTCAGGAAGAAATTAAGAACTGGTTAAAGTTGACAGATACTTGTTAGGAAGTGTCTTTCTTCGTGATTCGTGTCGAAGACCATTAAAACTGAATATTATTTATTTATTATTTAGTGTTCTGTCTGACGACAGGTCCATATGAACAGGATCCTTCCATCCTTTTCTCGGACTGGGACCTGTTCATATACGTTCTTGGCAGATGATCCAGAAGTGGTTTGCCATTGCCTTCTTCTGTGTGTGAATGGAGTAATTGTTGGGATGCCACGGAGAAAAACTCCGTGTTGCCTAGACCACGGCCTTGCCCAACACAAGTTATAAATTCGGGCACCGCCGGGAATCGAGCCCGAGACCCCAGCATTACAAGGCCAGCGTTCTATCCGCTAGACCACCGTGTCTAAAACTGAATATAAAGAAGTATAATTTTTCACGCGTGAAACTTGATCTCTCGCATAAAGGAGACTAATAGGAGCTTTTGTAATTTTTACTACACCAAATCTTATTAGTACCATTAAATAAATGAGGAGGAAGTGGGCGGGACATGGATTACATTGTAAAGATGAGGAATTGGTATAGAATATTGGACACAAGGGGCGAGATCTCTTGAAACATCTTCCGACCACATCCAATTCTGCTTTGTGCAGGTGAGATATCAGGTTCCGACGGTGGAGGTGAAGTTCTGGACAATTCAGAGGTCCTTGTTGCCACCATCTTCAGGGCGATGAGTTAAATGAGCCTAGAGGAATTTATTTTAGTCAGGTGAAGGGAGGGGTGTGGGGAACATAAGGAATGCGATACGAAATGTTGATGGGGAGTGCCACTTATTTCGGAAGACGGAAAAAAGCCGAGAAGATAACATTAATACGTGTCTGAGGATCGGGAGTGGATGGATGTGGCTCCAAATCGTGTCCAGTGGCGTTCTTTGGTATTAAAGGCACCGCTGTGATAGTGTTAATAGGATTACTGGTGACGATGTGTGGGAACCCAAGAGGTCTCGTGAATTTCCTAGAAGTTTTACCTTCAACTAATCCATTCTGGGACGCAAGAATAAATAATTCGGCTGTCGATTGTTCTTTTGGGATATGGACCAGTGTTGTCCATTTCTTTGGCACTTATCAGCGTTTGGAGAGACATATGGTTTCCCGAGATCCAGTTTTGTACTATCGTAACAGCGTCTGAGTGCTTTCCGAAAAAATCCTATATGAATATCATATTTCCCTGCTCCGAGGTATCTTCCCAGCCTAACCCACACTGATTGAACCCCACTGTCAGGGCGATTTGTGTAAATTACATGTTTCTCTTTATGAATTATTGTTCGTCGGGATCGAACCCCGGTAGCTCAGACTATACACCGTCGAATAAGACAGTCATGTTCAAAGGTTGCGGAATTAGGCGGTCGAGGCCTAATTTAAGGTACTATCCCGGCATTTTTCAGGAGGAACCGAGGAAAACCACGAAAACGTGCCAGGATAGCCTGTTTTAGGCCGATATTTAAACCTTTATCTCCGGAATATGAAGCAGGACTGCAGAACATGATGATGGGCCGATCCAACAGCACGAAGAATATTTTGCGTTCAGCGGCCTCTGATTGGTTCGGATTCAGAACTACGTCTGGAAAAATAAACCCTCAGACATTTGGTAGAAATCGGTCCATCGCAAGTCCTGCGAGTACGACAGACAAACGTGGACTTCCATATCTGTACATCGAAGAGGATTCAAACCCGTGACTCTAGGTCAAGAACAGTTTACGTCTTGGACTACAGCGATGAGTCATAAATGTTTTGTCCAAGGATGAAATGAGTATTACCAAGATGGAGGGACTGTGTGTAATGTTGGACACCTCCTTGTCTTTATGGGCCTGGAGCAAGTCAGTTGATGCAAGAAGAAACCTGTAAAGTGACGTAGACGAACTCCACAGCGACCCAGGAACATCGTACGACAACGAATCCTTCATTCAATACGAGAGTTGGTGGGGCATTTCTGCTCCATGTAGTTAGACCCTTAGTCTTGTTCAGAAATGGACTACTGCTCATAATAAATCATTTTCCAAGACTATATTTATTACTTAATTAAAAATACTAAAATAAATAAAAAATAAATTCAGACAAGAAACTCTTGTATTTATTGATCCCACAAAAATCTAATTAAACCTTGCATCAAAACTTATGACGTGAACTGACTGATCCAATCAACCTGGACATTGGGGGAAGTTCAGTACTGCAATTGTTGGTACTAGAATCATGGACAGGCTTGGAATCACACAACTTGGTAAAGCACGTCTTTATGAAGATGAGGCTGAGGGTGAAATAACTTTGAAAAAAGGACTACGACATTGCTACTGATAAGATATTTACGAAGTTCAACATGAAATTGAATGTCAGACAATATATCGGTCAGTAAATTGGTTTTCCTCCGTTCCTTCAGACAGATTCTGAGGCCACCCGCACCCACCGGAAAAGAGGGTAGAAGGATAGAGATCACATTCTCTGCATGTTTTTGTGTTTAAATAGGAGCAGCTGTTGGAAGTGTCAGGTGCAGTAAAACATATCTGTTGCATTCCTTACTATCAGAAGGGTAGTTTTAATGTCTACAGCCCATATATGGAAGGAATAACGCCTGCGCGATGAGGTTTACCCTGACTGGCCTGTTGTGAGAAGAATGCTCTCTCTGTTCGTGTAGCGGCAACGTCGCATGTCCTCCAGCAGTGCCTGGGAATCTAAATATAAATGCGAGACCTCATAGTCATCATGGCTGGCCCATCAACAAGTCGTACGCTCACGGAGATTGAGGAAATACAAGTTTTAAATGAAGTTTTAGAAGATGAAAGTATAAGTGAATATAGTTCGGACGATGATAGTGTATTTGACATTGATTATACACAGTTTG